GAGAGAGAGAGAGAGAGAGAGAGAGAGAGAGAATAGACAGACATTTTTCTAAGGCTTTTTGTATAAGAGAATTTGTGTAGGGCGTGCTGCTATCGATCGTGGCTTCGTTTAAACTCATTGATCTCAGTGGGCGTGATGTGCAGGCTGCAGGAAAGGCTCGGCTTACTTGGAGGTCATGAATATTTGAATAACTGACATTGGGGCATTACAGAGTGGCAGGGTTACATTTTGAATATTCATGTCTAATTCATCACCAGGTACAACTGAAGCTTTTAGAGCAAGAAAGGAAGAAAGAGCGAGAGAAAGAGAGGGGGAAAGAGGTAGAGTGAGAGAGAATGTAACACCAAAAATAGCACTAGTGTCTGATACGATGACCATTGCTGAAATACATTGTTAAATATATGGTCGAGTAAAACAGTAGCAGAGCATGGGGTACGACCTATGTGGTTAAACAGGTTCCATTAAAGCAAGCTTCTGCTCTCTTTCTCATACAGCCACAGCAACATCATCTACGAATTTCAGTTGCTATTTATCAGAAATGTCTCAGTATATAACTGGAAGACCATTTTGTGGCGTGTAAAGTAACTTTTTTCATTGTGTTTCTCGACTGTCATGTTGCGCTTAAGTTACAGAATTCAAACCTTTATTTTTTTAATCATGCAGTGAGAAAAGCCCATATCTTTCCATATAAATTCAAAACAGTTAATTTACATAGATTAACAGTTAATAACTACATAGATTCATAAAAATGTCCTATAGAGGTCATGTAAATAAATATTTCAGTTTTGTCATGTTAAAGCTACGCTATGTAAGTTTGGGGGATTTGGAGGCCTCTCTGGTGGAAATGTGTAATTGTACCCAACATACGGAAGAACATTTTTTAAAACCTTGATTGTTTTTCAGACTCCTTCCCTGAGTGGATGAATCTAATGATTGCAAGTCAAAACTTGGTGAAGGTTGTGTCTTCTGAGAATTCAAGTAAATTATCTGCACTCTCAGAAAAAAAAGGTATGAAACTGTCACTGGGGTGGTTCACTCAAGGGTACCTTTAGTCAGGGAATATAATTGTATCATAATCCATTTGACTCCACACACCCCGTCACGTCTCCAGGCTTTTTATTTTATTGTTCTGTTTTAAAACACTGGGTTATGAAAAGGTACAAATATGTACTTTTCACCTTGAAAAACGTATTTAAGGTTCACAATTGGACTTTAAAACCACTGTTTGTACCTTTGAGGGTATATTACATTGTTTGTACCTTGATGAACGAGAAATTTACCTACACAGAACCTGTATTTCTAACAGTGGGCTATTGTCATCATATCTTCTTCAGTATAATGGTGATTTTGAATTTGAGACCTAAACATCGAGCTGGGACTTCTTTTTGAGTCTGTGCATGTGACGTTATATGTAAAGATGTATGACATGCTCAGGAAAAAAATAAATAAATAAGTCCAACTTGAAGCCTCTGACTTTCAAAATGATTATTTCAGGCTTTACAGGGTGACTTGCAGAAGCACACAAACCATATTTTAGTGGGTTTTGCACCATACTCAGTTATGCTGCCTCTGCCAGTGTTTAACAAAGTCTCTTTTTACAGTAAATGTTGTTTATTGTGAGAAACATTTATATAATAAATATATGTGAAATATATGCAAAAGCTACACTTTGTAAGTTTTGGGGATTTTGGGGATATATCTCTGTTTGAAATGTGTAATTGTATGTATCTGTACACACAATGCACTTGTATCTTATTGGAGGCATGAGCTGGGAAGCAAACGGGCCATGAGAAGAAGAAAACTCTGCTTATGTACGGCGTAGCTGTGGTCAAGAACAGCTGGGAAATAAAGCACCACAACTTGTGTGAAAGTGTGTCTTTATATCTTTGCTGTCATAATAAAAACTTGTGTAACTTTTTTAAACCATATTAAACCTTTACAGCAGAAGGAAGATTTTATTCCAAGTAATCCATTCACCTTCAGCCCATAATGTAAAGGGCAGCTGGTGTTTACAAACGGTTTATGGAGGTTTTGATTAGACACCATGATATATAAGATTAATGGAGTGATGTGTGATAAACAGATGGGAATTCTTTGGCCCCACTGTAACCTAATATAGTCATGCCAATAAAGCTGCTTTAAAGTTTAAAGCAGGAGAAGAGGAGAGAAAAGAAGGATGAAGAAGGATAGAGGGGGTTAGAAGATAAAAGGCTGCTACGACAAGCTCGGGTGAGAGACATTGATTTGAACATCCGCTGATAAAGAGTGACAAAGTGAGTGGCAGCAGTGAGAGAGGAACTGACTCTAATCCTTAAGTGCTGAAGTAGTGCGACTTAATCAAATATAGATATAACTGCTTCCCACACCGAGCGTCATATTTCACCATTCAAACGGCTCACATGACTCACACGCACTTTCTACATCTTCAGATGATGTACGAATGAAAGACTCTGTCTTTTTTCACTGACTCATTCTTCCTCCATTTCACTCCTTCCTCTAATATCAAACGCGCATCAGTTGCAGAGCTCCACCAGCTTGCAGCAGACACACACTTTATGCCCAGAACCCCACAGCACAGCTCAGGGAACCCACACATACAAAGGGTTGTCCATCAGCTCCATATCCAGCCCAGACCTGCGTCCACTGAGAGTGCAAACATGTAACATCATCATACTTGACATCTTCAGTATATACAATATACAAATGTTAATGCATAATTATTTTATATTTGATTATAAATATTATATCACTTTAAAAATACAATAATAACTGTGGCATGTGCTCAAGTTTGAACACACTACTTAGCCAGTATTTAGTAAGAGGCACATATCACAGCTTGCAAACTGTGAATTAGGAATTGTTTTCACCCACTTTTTCTTAAAGAATGCTTCAAGTACTGAAAGTCTTAAACAGTCGTGCTTGCACAACCCACAGATTTTCAGTGATGTTCCAGTGAGGACTGTGAGGGCCATTTAAGCTTTTGGAATGGTGGCATTTGAAGCGTGTTTTGGATCATTATCCTGTTGTAGAAGCGCACCTCATCTCGACTTCAGTTACTGTTCCTTCATTTCCTTCCACAGTGTGCTGATGTTTAGTGGAATCCTTTCTTTTACATACTCGAGCAGTGTTTCCTTTGTCACTGGCTGCCACACAACCCCAAAGCATAACAGATCCACCCCCATGCTTTACAGTCATTCTTTTCATCCAGTGCTGGTCCTTTTTGTCCTCCAAATATACCTTTGGTGATTTTGATCAAGAGTCCAGTTTTACTTCATCAATCCACACTGAACTTGTTCCCAAAATGCCTCTAGTTATCTAGATGTTGCTTTGCTTACCTCAGAGTTCTATAAAGTTAGCATTTTGGATATTAGAGGTACACTACTAGTTCAAAAGTTTGAAATCACTTCTCATATTCATTCCAAAATGCTGTATATCCATCTGTAACAAGATGTTTGCAAAGAATAACATGACATATAATGCAAATTACTTTATATATATATAATGCAAATTACTTTAAAAAGTGCAATTTTGTTTTTTTAATAAAGGTATAATTAATCAGAATATAGCATTCATATTTCTTGTATGTGTAATGTCCACTCCCAATAAAGTATTTTATGAAAAAAAGAAAATAAATGAAAGTGGCATTTAAATGCGTTTTGGAAGGAAACCCTTCGACTGATACTGAATAATAACTTAAATAAAGTAGATGGATATGTTATAAACTAGATACCAAAGTAAACCAATGGTTTATATGCAACTAAAAGTAGTTTGGGAAAAAGAAGTTATGACATGAAAAAGAGTAAATAAATACAGTTACTTATCTTTTTATAGTAATTTCATCTCAGAAAATTACAAATATGCAGAAATCTGGCTATTAATTTAAGATTCAAGTTCATCCAAGATGCTATACAGCTGCAGTGCTGTTCCTCATCAGAAATTTCTTAATTTTAATTGTGAAGCCTGTAGAATTTTAGCATTGCATTAGAATTGTTATACAGTAGTATACAGACATGTAAACCACTCCCAGGTCAAATTACATTTTGTTGATTTTGCAAGTGAAAAGAAGTTAACACATCCTCTACAGAGAACACACTTAAATGTGGCATTTTTCAGAACATTTTAGTGCACAATTTCTATTTATTTTGAGAAACTGAATTCTATTTTTTTAAATTTTTTTTTAGTTAACATACTGGAAAAACATACTGGAATAAAATACAAATTAAAGTAATTAAAATGCATGTTTTCTGTAGAGGATGTGTTAACTTTACACTTGGAAAATCAACGAAACGTGTAATTTCAACAGGGGCACACAAACTTTTGCATATGTCTGTACATGTATCTGCAACAAAATTGGCTTTACATAACTAAAAATATACGGTCAATTTATCACAATAATGATAACCTATCGTTATTTTGCCCACCTGTAGTATCCACCACTCTAATAATGTCTTGGGCTCTTAAAGCACATCTTTTCTAAGTACACAGAAGTTCTTCATCCCATTCTTTATCCCAAACAAACACACATCCTGTCTGGCCATTTTTATTTCCTGTTATTGTTCCTTGCTTGGTGATTCATGCCTTGGCCTACACTCACTCTCTCTCACACACACACACACACACACACACACAGGCTCTCACGTTTACAGCTGGCCATGGCTAAGGGCACTAGCAGGCTGACAGTAAATCAATAAGCTGTGTGTGTTTAGAGTGCTGTCCTAGGCTTCATCTCTACTGATCACTCCAATCTTTGATGAAACCCACGCAGTGTGCTGTGCATCTCCTGACTCATAAATAGCAGCATCATTCATGTGTTTATTTTTAAACATTGTTTCTTTTTTATATTAATCTCATCCATGTGGATTCAGATGCTCTTATCTAATCAGCTTGGGGGGGGGAATGTATGAAAGAAACAAATGTCTGTGTTTTATTTAAAAAGGATTTAATTCATTTAAAAAGGATCTCACTCCCAACATTTCAAATGACGAGACCCAAGCAGTCAGTCTGTTATCCTCCGTTTATTTTGCCTCCATTTTCTGTTTCCAATGATAAAAGACCATGAGGTTATGGTGAATTAGTATCTGCATATCTTCTAACTCTTACAGTTCTCGTTATCAAAACATATGAAAAGAGAATAACTTCACAGAAAATAAAGAATGCAATGGAAAGATAAGATAAACACTATCATTTCCAGCAAGCCTGTAAGATTAGTTCCACTCCCCTCCAGCATGATCTCAATTATAAATGCATACGTTTCTAAATTCTAGCGCTCTACATTTCAGCTCGAACGAGTTCATGAATTTGGAAACAGGATTTAAAAAAAAGAAAAGAAAAAAAAGCTTTAATTTTCAATAAGTAAACAACAGGTACTTACAATGCCAAGAGAAGTTCATGTATCACCTGGGAAACAATTTAAGACACTGATATATTTCTACTGCCCGCATTTACAAAGCCTGGACTTATGCAGCTCGGCAGCTCGGACAAAATAACAACGAATAACACCATGAAGACCCAGTGAAGGTGAGTGTTACTGTCACAAGAGCTTTTGAGACTCCCTTCGTGTCCCACAAGAACTGAAACAAATAAAAAGGAAGCTTTTCATTCTTTCCCTCAAAAGCCTTTGTGCATGACTCCATAAAACAAGTAGAAGTACCAACTCAAGATGTAAACAAGGTTTGATGCAGTGGTCAACAATGAGTTTGTAACTGGGGCACTGCTGCATAAGACAGTAAAGAATAACTGCTGTGTGCTACAGCAGCATTTTAGTCAGTTAAATCATCCACTAGTGCACAATTACAGAGATGAATACAGAAACATCAACAGTTCTACTGTAGCATCAATTTCCAGTTTGTGCTTTGTGTCTTTGGGCTAAAATTAACATGCTTACACTTGACCTACCTGGCTTCCCTGTTTTGATATGTTTAATGATAAGAGTTCAGAAGAGAGAAGCATCTATCAAAACTGTTCGTCGCTCAAATTAGCGAAAGCAGTCTGGATGCTGCCTAATGGATTACTGATACGGCGCCATCGAAGCGTAGTGTTGAGTGCTTTCAACAGCCTGCTTGCTCTTACAGATCACATATGTTTGATTCACAGCTACAAAAGATAACAGTTCAAACGAGAACGCTCCAGTGTCAGTGCTCTATTGAGCGAAAGAAAAAACAGAAAAAGAACGAGGCTCCTCGGGCCACGATCCAAGGCTTTATGCCTTCTACTGCGCTGGAATGTAACAAGAGTGCTGTGATAAATTCATGTTAAAGGGCAAATTGGAACAGTGACATGAGAAGGAGGTTTCCCCTCTAACGATGTGCTCTGATTGGATGAGCTCGGAGACTCCCCGGGTTCTGCAGGCGTTCTTGAACACATCTAATCATCAATCCTCATTGTGATCAATGGAGCTCGGCCAAGACCGCCCCAGTGACTAGCGAGCCTGTGCTTCAGTTCGGCCTACTGCATGTGGAGACCACAGAAAGTATATCAGGTTCTAAGTGCTAACAAGACCATTGGTCATATTCACCCAGTTGAGTGTGGCATTGTGATTTAACGATGAATTTTTGGTCAATGATTGAAATTAATGTCACCCTGTGATAAGACCTGGAACATTGTGAACTGTTCATCTGCAGAAAATGCTGAAAAAAGGCCTGCTGTGAAAGGGAGTGAGAGCAGAGATTTAAAAAACAGATCTATCACTTCGTTTTGGTTAATTCAACACTTCAGGTAAAACCTCCAAAGTAGTGCTTTTTAATTTTTAAGTTAATAGTCAAGGATAAAGGTGATGTGCTAATTTCTTTTTTTTGTGCAAAACTAGGCTTATTTGTAATTACGCTCGGTTCAGTTATTGCTTTTTTTTCCCCATTTAAGTCTCTTCACCACTACATTCATATTTCTATTTAGACGATTGACATAAACATTAATAGAACACTCAGTTAATGTTAATATAACACTACTTTACAGCGCACGGATGATTAGCACTGGTGATTATCGTTATAAATGACAGATGATTATATCAGACGAGCACAGATGACACAAAATGAACCCTCGTGCACCCGATGCAAAAACACACATTTACAGACACATAAGGCAGTAACTACGTTCAGTTCATTTGAGATTTTTCTCCAAAAATAGACAACCCCAGTCCTGGCCCAGTCCTATTAACTGTGTGTGTATTTATGTGCATGTGTGTGTGTGTAGGTGTGTGCTTGCAGGGGCTGGCGATGTTAATGTCAGGTTAACATTTTGATTCCCCAGGCTGTGTGTCTACTCTGTAATCTCCAGGATCAGGTCATCTCCCTCTAGGCTGCTGTCAGTTTTCACATACACTTTGGCCACGGTGCCGGACAGCGGTGAGTTGACCACTGTCTCCATCTTCATAGCACTGAGCACGCACAGAGGCTGACCCTTCTCAACCTTCTGGCCCTCCTTCACCTTCACCTCCACCACCTTCCCCGGCATGGGCGCGCCCACCTGCCCCCGCACGTCCTTCAGAGCCTTTGGGTGGAAGTGCATCTCCTGCAGGAACACATGGCAAAGAAAAAAGAAGCTACAGTGTGCGGCTATAAAGAGGAAACAAAACAAATGGAAGGAAATGTAGAAAACAGGTCTGTGCCTGGTGTTGATTAGTGTCCGCCCACAGACCGTCTGATGTATACTGTAGGCTAAGATGGCCACAGCTATCAGAACAATCAAATTATCTCTCTTTTCAGTTACACTCTTATCAGCTACTGCAAATATACACTAGCATTCAAAAGTCTGGAATTGCTGCAGTTTGGAATCAATGGTTTGAATGATATAAAACCAGACAAGCGTATGAAATGAGTCTAAAGTTAGCCTTGTGCAAATGTACAGGCTTCAAATCATCAGCAGAACACTATAAAGCTGTAGTTGAAACCTGTATTCAAGCTAAAATTTTAGATGTCTCCTGAATAAATGTACAAGATTCTAAAACGACTGACAAAGCAGCATAACAGAGAGATTTAAGTTTATTAATATCCACAATATCATTTTTCAAAAGTGGAAATTATATCTCAGGGCAGATGAGAAAAAGTTACATAAAAAATAATAAACTGTAATGATGTAATTTCATTCACGTCTTGTTAATTTCTACAGATGGCTTTTGATGACCAGTTTGTAATATTTAAATATACACTCTATTAGTCATTATTGTATAGAAAATAACAAAAATGATTAATGCAGCAAATGATTCCAAACTTCTGAATGTTTTTGTTGCAGTGCCCTGGAGCTTAAACATTCTTATCCAGTGCAGTTCCTTCGTCAAACAAAATTAGGCTCAACAGCTGCCACGAGTAATGATGCCTTTTAATGTATTTTGCACAGATTTTGAGATGTTACTGTATAAAAAGATGTTTAATGCAAAGTGTTTGGAGTGCAGCAGCCCACAGCTCAAGAGGCTTGGAGACAGTATGTATCACTTTGTCTGAGGCTGGAACTAACATTAGTTAACAGTACATTATCTACGGATGTGGTAGCCAGGGGTTAATCCTTGAAATTAAAGTTGCTGACCTGATGATCTGTAATATAGTTTTTCCTCATTTATCCTGTTCATAGAGCAACTGGAAGAGGTGCAAACGGCAAGATACTATGTTTTGTTTTGAGGTCACAGTAAGTATTTGCCTAATAGCTAATGGCCCAAGTTCTTAACACTATTATCTAAGCTTACCTATATAACATTGCTCCTATGGTTCACTTGCATTTATATAACATGATGCATTTCCAGGTATTAAACCATTAAGAAGCAAGGGTGATGTTAAGTCTGCGTTTATGCTCAAAAATCAATTTGTGTTCTTATGGAAGGTATCAAAAAGAAAGGATGGAGACTCTGAGAGAGGTGAGAATAGCTATATTACATGCAGGGAGTGAGGCAAGAATTGAGTCAGGTGTGCTTAGAAACAAGTCTTTTTCATTAACTGTGCTCTTTACTCCCGTTTTCATTCTGCAGTGTTCAGATACCTAAGGACAAATGTGATATTCAGATAAAGTACAAAATGAGCTTTTTTGTTGTTCTGAATAGTGAAATGTTGAAAATTGGACATTTTCGGTAATTTATATATTAAAACATTAATATCTCCAACTTGTCACTGTCAGTTCCAGTACAAATACTTAACCTTGGTTGGACTTCTGAATAGTTTTAATGTACCCTATTATATCAAAGAAGGTTTTTTCTCTGACCATGATATACTAACCCTCGTAATACCACCCCAACCCCCAAAGTAGGCCCTGTTCAACCCCTCCAATGTTCAACCCAAAGTTACACCTTTTGGGTGATGTAAAGACAGTAGATACAGTAAACAGCACAAGCACAAAGTGCCGAACAAAAACACATTCAGTAAGGTTTAATACATTTCAACAACATGGAAAAAATAGCAGTTCATGAGAAAATATTCCTCAAACATAATTCCTGACCTCTACCATCTGCTGGTAGATGTACTGTAGAGGCTGCTGATTTTGAGCTGCCACCAGTTATTTTATACATGGCTAACCATGTATGCAAATTGTGTTAATGGCACAGCCTACTAGGGACAGGAAAACGATGATTGAAACATGTCATCAAAGGCAATTTTCAGGCCTTGGTATGAACGACTTTCTCTAACAGCCTTAACTTTAGAAATCATGAAATAGCAGTGAATAATCAAGAAGATTATTATGCAGTAATAGATATTCTCCAAAGAGCAGTCTGATCTGCACATACCTTCATGGCCACGGTATCTCTCACTAGAACAGACCTCAGCTGGCCATTCAGCTCAAAGAACACCTCTCTCTGTCCGGCCTTGTTCAGGTCCCCCAGAGCCAGAGCTTTGATGTGGAGCGTTTTCCCTCTCTCCAGCTCCACCTGAGGAAAACAGAAGGAATAGGGGAACGGAACAAAATAAGATGAAGGCAAATGTTAGCATATGGGAAAAGATGCATGCAATGATGGATGAGAGCATGACAAGAAAGTGAAAGGAGACGAAATTTTGACAGAGACAGTGAAAGTATTGTATTTTGTAGTATGTGCAATATTTCTAATATACGCAATAACTTATCTGCTATCTATACCACACTGTGGCAAAAGAATAACTGTATTCGCTCTTCTCATATAATAGAATGAGTGGATTGACAGTAAATTTAAGTTTAGTAGAGTTAAATAAATAACAACTTAATGTTTTTTGCTCATAAAACAGCACAGCAGCAGTGAAAAGTCACCTCAAACTCCTCAGCGATCTTGGGGCCGTCCAGGAAGAGGCGAGTGTTGAGACAGTCGACAGGCCCAAAGGTGGTGGTGAATTCCTTAAACTCGTGGAAAACTTTCGGGTACATGGCTGCTGACATCACATCCTCTGGAGTGATGTCATCTCTGTGCGTCTCACGCAGCTGCTTTTCCAAAGCCTCGAAGTCCATGGCGGGGAGCGAGGCACCTGGACGACCCTCTACGCGAGGAAGAGACTTCAGCACCTGCGCCAGAAACACACACCAAATCAAATTAGGGCTGTGACAACACATTGTCTGATTGATTAAAGAGTCAGAAGGTGCAGATTCATCATGATCATTGATGGTCCCCTATGGATTATCTACAAATGCTGGGTTACAGATAGAAGTAGGAGGTCTGACGAGTCAACCTTTCAGACTATTTATGGAAATAATGGACATTGTGTTCTCTGAACAAAAGGACCATGTTACCAGCATAAAGTTAAGTCAGGGTGTGTCACGGTATGGGGTGCATTAATGGCCACAGCATATGTAACATACAGTTAACTCTTAAAATATATATATAATTTGGTATGACATATGCTGCCTCCTAGATGATTCTGCACGTGTTACAACAGCATGGCTACATAATCAGAGAGTGTAGGTGCTAGACTGGTCCGCCTGCATTCACCCAGTCTCCCAACTGAAGACGTGTGGTGCATTATGAAGCACAAAATATGTCAACAAATGCCCCATAGGGCTGCACAGCTGAAATGCAAACTGCATCAGTTGGTGTCTTCAGTCCCCAAACATTTATTCTGTGTTCTTAAAAGGAAAAGTGATGTTACACAGTGTTACTGCAGTGCTGAGAATGATCCACCACCCAAATAGTACCTGCTCTGTGAGGGTCCATGGGGGTCCTGACCACTGAAGAACAGGGTAAAAGGGTGCTAACAAAGTATGCAGAGAAACAGATGGACTACAGTCTGTAATTGTAGAACTACAAAGTGCACCTATATAGTAAGTGGAGCTGATAAAATAAACAACAAGCGTAGAAACAAGGAGGTGGTCATAATGTTATGCCTGATCGGTGTATATGTGTGTGTGTATATATGTATATATAAACATCAAATATAGCTGTTTTCGGTTAATTTAATAAAGGTCAAACAGAAGTTACTACTCACTGCTTTCTGTTTTATTAGCATTTCACACAGTATAAAAAATATTTCAGAACTGAGGTTTGAACAAAGTATCTACAGTGGACCCAAACCTCTCTGGCTATTTTCCAACATAAAAACCACATTAAACACATAGTGATTGTTACCGTTTTATTATTTTTTAAAACATATTATTTCTTGACAATAAGGATCACTTAAGTGCCCATGAGGACAAACATAGTGTTCACTGAATAAACTAAATGTATGCAGTGTACACTAAATATAAGAAATTTGCAGACACTTGCTCATCCAGCGTTTCTTCTGAAATCAAGGGCATTACTAGGAATTTCTTTCAGTGACTGCCTCTACTCTTTAAACTATATGTTGGAACATGATTGTGAGAATCTGACTTCAATTAGCCATAGGAGCATTAGTGAGTTCAGGTGCTGATCTTGGATGAGTTAGATGCGAATCACACAGCACAGCATGTGCACAACAGAACACCTGAGTCAGCAATGGGTGTATCTTAACCCCTTACAGTAACCTGTACTTACTGAATAATAAGCCTTAATAAGTAATAAGACTGGGATTTTAAGGGGTTAAAGTAGCTAAATTCACCAAATGAAAGGGTTGTCTGAATACTTTTGGAATGGTAGTGTATTTTTTAAAAAATAACTGAATACATACAGCTACGTGAGCTAATTGAATTGAGTAATTCAATCATAAGCGTATGGAATCGATGTGAGGTCACAGATTTACACCCTTGCGTCAGACACATCCAGATATCTGTTACGCATCTCAGGAGGATGTGAAATGGGGATTAATGGCAAGTTTCTAATCATTTTGTAATACAGTTTAAAGCCTCCATGTGCACAAGTGGTTGGAGTGAAGAGCTTACAATTCCCAGAGAGCCTCTCATGAAAAACCTGCAAATATGTCTATCTGATTGTTACCAGGAGCTCAATTAATCTCCTCTCTCCACTTCATTTACTTCTGTTTAAGAGGCTAGAGGAATGAACTGGATAGTGGTCCTCAAGGACACTCTGTGACTGGCAGCAGCTACCAGTGGAGATGAAACTTGATAAATAAATATTTGATATAGGCATCGCATTATGCACTCTTTGGTGGAGACAAAGATTAAAATAAAACACTTCATCATTTGAAAATGCAAACACTGGCATAGAAGATGAGTAGTACTAATATTACAACATTTAAGACAGATGGGGGAAAAAACAGGGCCAGTGCACTGGAACAGGTTCGTTATCCATGAAGATCGCTAAGCAGATGGCCCATTTATTTTTGAACTAATGTGCTAAATAAATTAACCAAGTAGCAGCGCAGTCGGCACACAAAGCTATAGAAACACAGGCATTGTTCACTGGTGACGCGAGACACAAATTTGTTGGGGAAACAATTGATCTTGTGCGGGAGAGGTTGCTGGGTAATTGGGGCGCGCATGGCAATTGGGGCGGATGCGATTTTTCGACACTTCTAACTGACAAGCACAAGACAGCATGACTGCACTCCAGAGACAGAGATGAGAGGGAAGAGAACCCTCTAAACAAAACAATTTCACTGAGAGGGAGAGAAAAGAAGGAGCACGAGAGAGAGAGAGAGAGAGAGAGAGAGAGAGAGAGAGAGAGAGAGAGAGAGAGTAATTTAACGAACAGAAACTTTTCCTCCTTCCCCTTCACTTAAAAAGAGAACAGAATTTGTAGTAATGGGGCCCACACAAAATAATACAGATATTACAGGATACAGAACATTGGTCTGTCTTATTCATCCCTTTTACCATTTCTTACAATACTACAAGAGAAAAAACGTAAAAAAAAATGTCTTGTAGAAAAACTAAGCTACAGAACTCTCAGAAGCCCTTACTTCTCTGTCCCATGGCTGAATAAATACACTGGAAAAAGATAAGCTGTAAAATGAGCAGCTATAATTAATTTCAGTATTCATTCTGTAGGTTGGCTGGGGTCAAGGTGGGGCTTACCTTAGACCTGAAGGGTTCGGGGAAGCCTCCGTGGGGGATGCCGACGTGGCCCTGCAGGAACTCCACCACCGAGAGAGGGAAGGACAGCTCGTCTGCCCGCTCTTCAACCTCTGCACGGGTTAGTGAGTTCTGCACCATGAACTGCGCGAGGTCACCCACAATCTTCGAGGAAGGGGTCACCTGAAGAGAGGTGAGGGGGCCAAAGATCTGATTTAAAAGGCGCATATTCTACATTTGCTTCTATATTATTTTTCCCTCTTCATGTAGTTTTATGTACCAAAACATGTCATTGCTCACTCATACATGACCATTTTCCAACCTCTTGTCATTCCTTAGAACTGTTTTTGTTACTGGACTTAAATATCTCATTCAAAAAGCAGCCCAGGCTAAAATGTATTTAACAATCTGAAATGTATTAAACAAATGCCTGAATCCTTTGAAAGGCTTGAATAATACATTTACTTCCTGACAGACAGAAGCAACACAACATTTAACAGACTGTCTGCAGTAACAGCACTCTTTATCACTGCCAATGTGAATAAGCAGGCTCAATTACCATATGGGTGGTCAAATGCAAATGTATTCATGGTTGTGACATCACAAGCATGAGCAATTCAAAACAGGCTAATTTTGCATTTGAGTTTCCATATATGGACTACATGGACTGGGATACGTTTACATTAGTACGTCCTGAGACAACACTGAAATCAGACACCTCCTTTTGGCTGACGTGGGCAAAAGAGAAAAGGCAGAGCTGCGGGAACACAGAGGACTTGACTATGAGAGCAGATTACATTCACTATAACAGAGACGGAGGAAGATGAAATGAGGAAACAGAGAAAATGGTGAGGTGATAATGGAAACTAATGTTAGCGTGACAGAGGCTAGCACATAAACACTGCGTCTCTCGCACGCCCGCTCTGCTTGGTCTCTAATATTGACAGAATTAAAGGGGAGGGGAAACTGAGGAGGAGGCAGAACAGAGCGGCAACTATCTCTGATCATTTAATTAAGCTGTGGGAAATGAAAAGCAGCAAGGCGAAACCAAACGCTCACAGATGCCATTGATTTGGAGAAGGGGGCCGAGGAAGGGTTGGGGGGGGAGGGTGTAGCTGAACAGATAAGCTTTGCTTAAAGCACCCCATTTGATCTGTCTCTGGGCCAGAGGAGCCAGCCACAGGATTACACCCCCTCCTCTGTGGTGTTTATGCCATTTTCTATTTTTATTACATCTGAGAGGAGAGTGACGAGAGCGCGATATATAGAAAGAGAGAACAAGCAAAAGAAAGTCAGAGGCCAATTAAAGTCTTGAAGTCGGAGACGAGCTCTTAGGTCTGTAGCTCTCGTGATCAGGAGAATGTACGCGTGAATTGGAAAGAGATCAGTGAGGTGTCTGTCAGAGCAGAAGGTGATAATTAAGTCCTATTACACTGTAGACCCGGGGCACATATGTGAATAGATCACACGAAAGTCATGTGATTTAATTACAGCATATGTGCGCTTTCAAAGGTACTGCTGAAATCAAACAGCTGCCGCTGGAATAAGGACATGCTTTTGGCATAATTGGCATGAGCCCTGAAGGAAACAGACTCTTCTGACATGATCCGAACACAGCACCTTTTAAAACTACTCAAAACTACTGCACTCTCTTTCTGCATCACTGTCAGAACAAATCTGTCGCATTTCCAAAATGGAAATTTCGCAGAGAAAGGAAATTGCCTATATCAGGGAGAAAACTGACTTGTCCTTGCTTTTCTGAAATAAAAGAACTTAATGTAACACATTATAGTTCCAAAATATACTATTCACTTCTCAAGTCCATACAATCAATGTATAGAAAATAAACTAAAAAACATCCCATTTTGAATTGATCATTTTTTGGTGATGTTACAAAAAAACAGCACATTTACATAAAACCTGTTCAGCCTACAGCAGTTTTGCTCCACCCATTATTGTTGAAGTTATAAGGAATGTTTCAGCCTCGACTGCTTTTTGAATTAGATAAAGGGCCAACTAGAACAGAGATGATTTAAGTCCAGTCACTCATACACACACACATATACATACATACACACACATACATATATATATATATACACACACATATATAAATGTTTCCATACAATCACCATAAGTGGACCTTAAGGAAATACAATTTTACTGCAAGTGATTTTGGACTATTTCTATTGGTCCACTCATCATGAAATGCTCACACAATGCATTGTACTGTTGGTGTTTACAAAGGAATCAAAAACAAAAAAACAGTTATTTTTATAATCAGTTAATCCATCAACTATTATTCAACAAATCAGCCAGTATGTCTTAGGCAGCTTACCTTCGCTTTGCTTCTGTCATACTCCTACCAGTGAAAGTAATTTCTTTTTTTTTTGCTAACATAAAACAGAAGCCATATCCCCACCACTGCTTTCCATAGCAGACCTATATTGCAATCAGTCAGAATTACTGTGTATTATACAAACATGACAGAGCATTATAGAGCATTTTTGTTTAAATAAATGCAAAAGCAAGGCATCAACTTTGTCCTTGGTGAGCAGTCGACTAATCACTGCAGCATCAGTAAGACATATATGCTGTCCACTCACTTTGATGAGGTCTCCCAGCAGTTTGTTGGCCTCGACATAAGCCTTCTTCACCTCCTTAAACTTGTGGCCCAGGCCCATGCTGTGAGCCTGGAAGTGCAAGTTAGTGTACTGGCCTCCTGGGATTTCATTCTCATAGACGTCAGCGTTGCCAGACTTCATAGTGGCTGTGCAGTCAAAAGGAGCATAGAGACCACGGGCCACTTCCCAATATTCACTGTAGTCAAAGACCTTCTCCAGAGAGATACCTGAGGAAGGGAAAGGGAAGAGGCAAAGAGAAGAAGGAGACAGCAAAAGTTCAAACCAGAGAGTGAAACCACTGGAGATTTTGAAAGCAGCAAACAAAATAGCTGAGTGACATTAACATTTAATTATTAACAATCAGAAGTCATTGAATACTTCACTAGCTGTGACTTCTAATCAAGCATGCTGCGCTGGAATCTTCTGGAGTATTTAATCAGGAGTTTGAGAGCGCAGAGGCAGGGTGGGGAGGGTGGATGGCAGGGCTTAGATTGCTTCCTGCCTCTCACCGTGCCATCACTTACCAGCAGTAGTCAATTAATCAATCAACGAGGCGCTTCACTCGCAACAGTTTACATGCACGTTTAACCCACTCACCCTCCCTAATTACTCAGCACTGTGATCACAATCGAGCTCCAAAGACTCAAACACCCGCGCACACACACACACACACACACACACACACACACACACACACACACACACACACACACACAGGCTGGAACTCTCCCATACAATTACAAGTGACAGTAAACATTCCGACACTTAGTCTAATGCCATGTAGCAATTGTAAACTAAACAATAATACTATAAGGTATATACTTAAGCAATAGAGCAGGAGAGAGAGAGTGTTATCACAAATTGCATCACAGCTGTGCTCTGGCCATAGAATATCACAGAAGTGAGGCAAAGAAGGATTGATCATCGTTTCAAATATTTGTTTTTAATATGGGTTATTTCTACTGCCAAAAAAGGTTTGAGCAGCTTAGAGTAATCTTTGTCATGGACTTGTTAGTTTATCTTTGGTTTTCATTCATTTTCATTAATTGCCTTGTATATCACAGCAGTGTTGGTTTATTTACTAACTTTACATCAAAGTTCCAGTTTCATCTTGTTGGCTAACTCATAACACTGTGTTATGTGACAACAGTGTCCATCAGCATTCATTGTTCATTGCAATTATTATTAAAGTAAACATTGGTGTATTTTATCCTACTGTATCTTCCTGCCTTTTTAGAAATGCCTAACAACACTCCTTTTGATCTCTGTAAGACTTGAGTGGCTTATTGCTTTAGTACACATTTGGGCCACTACTTTTTCTCCTGTTCTGTCATTTTCCCTGGACTTAAATCATCTCTGTTTCTCTCACACGATTCCCCCTCAATTACAAAGGCCATGGTCTCTGTAGGCACAACTGACGTAAGTGTGTGAGTCTCTCTACTCCGTGAACACACACATGTACACATCCATCAGAGAACACACACTGTTCTCTCACACCCCCGCTTTAACCATGATGAATTGGTATTATGTGCAAAAGAGAGAGAGAGAGAGAGAGAGAGAGAGAGAGAGAGAGAGAGAGAGAGAGAGTGAGTGCAGAGACAGAATGGGAGTGGAGAGAGACCTGCCGAGAGATTGATGGAGAGATGAGAATGAGAGAAGAACAGATAAAAAAGTGACAAGGTGATAGACAAAGTGAAAGAAAAGCGAAAAGAAGAAAAGTTCCAGGAAAGCAGAGCAGAATGCTAATCTGGTTCATACTGATAGTCTGGCACAATGAATAGAACACCCAACTCTTCAACATCTTTACTAGACCTCGGTATGAATCTCAGACTGTCTGAGCACTGAGGAGGAAAAAAAAAAAGCTCAACTGCACTAAACTGGAGTCTAAAAAGCTAAACCAACATTGAGAGTGTGTGCAAGACCTGCCAAGCCCTCCATGCCGGAACTCAGACATTTTTATTTCCCCAAAGGTGCTTTTTCAGCACCTGGGATTTTCAGCAGAGCACACTTTGTGCCCTTTGTTCCACTGCCTTCCCTGCACCTTCAGGAAAATGTGGCATATTCTTTCCCTCATCCCCAACATGAGCAGAGCAGTCGACTCATGTCATCACAAAACATCTGTAGACACTGCTCTGTCTACCCCACAGTGCTTCAACCATTCAGCCCCTGCTAAAGAAACCTAAGGAGGCCTGACTAAATGGACAGAAGTCTGTGGCATTCACTTGTGCGGTTATTAACTAAGATACTACTGACTGATTATAGCGCTGTGCTTTCTAAAGCCCTATTAGATCTGGATTAGTTTTGTCTGGGGAGGTGCTATCATGTAACTGATTACTGACAAATAATATGTCAGTCCAAGACGGTTCTAATTCCAGAGAGAATTACTTTCGGTAATTTGCTGAACCCAGATATGCCTCCATTATAGTAGTCCTGTTTGAACTGAGCTCACGGTAACAGAAAAAAACCTGTTAATAGACATTCTCTGTATCTGAAATTGAGTCCTTTCTGAGTGTGCTAATCACTTTTAATGCAAATGTTCACACTGGGAAATTAACCATTACATGGTGCACTGTTAATACCCAGATATTGTACTAGAAAAATGAAATGTGGAATATCTCAAGTTGTTTACACACAGCAACCCCAGTCTGCCATTGACCTCTGTTGTATCGTCATTCTGTAGTTGGCCTGCCCATATTTGGAACTCCGGGTCTAAGCAGATTTCTCTTAGAGAAAAGTCCATATGTATCAGAAGTGGTGAAGCTCTCAAAGGCCAAAAAGTAAGATGGTTGTCCTTCAACAGCTGTGTCTACATTTATTACTGTTATTTTTGTTAACTTATATGCAATATACAGCTGAGGCTTTCAAAGTGTTAAACTGGTGGCTGAACATGCTGTTACAGCTAGTTTAGCTTGCTACTGTCAGCTAACTGTTGACCTTGGTGTGATACAATGATGTGTTACTGCGCAGTAATGCAAAACATTACAGATCAATTCGAAACAAAACTCCAGACGGCAGATATTACACAGTGTACACTGTAAGAATGCAGTGTATTAGAGCTTTAAAAATTTGTCCAAGCTAGACGGAACCCAAATATTCATGTCTGATTCATACATAATTTCTCAAAGATGATGAAAAAACTTGTCAGCTGATAATTACGCTCTACTTTACACATTACATATTTAACATTATCAAATAAACCCAGCTCAAACAGTGCTTCCTCCATCATCTTCACTAATCTGGCTTCTAAGGTCCAGGAGGGCCTGAGTAGCTCCATCCACACTAGTTTCAGCACAGCAGGCAGTCCATACACAATGAAAAAGAGTGGTACAAGTTACATAAAACTCTTCCTTTCTGATACCGAAGTGCCTCAAGGCACATACTTCAGCCCAAGGCTGTACTCGCTGCTCATTTACGAGCACATTGCAATGCATAGCAACAGCCCGCATCATCAAATTTGCTGGTGATACCACAGTAATTGGGCTAATCAAAAACATGATGAATGGTGAATACAGAAGTGAGTTTCGTGGGGCTTGCTAAGCGACACCTTAATGACCACCTAGGCTTGAATTTAAGCAAAACAAAAGAAATCACTGTTGACTTCAGGGGAAACGAAGGGAGTTGCACCCTAATCAGTGCTGACTGGGCTACGATAGAGACTGCTTCAGGTTCCTTCGGATTTGATGCCTTAGAGGCTGCAAAAACACCAAAAACATTATAAAAAGGCTTAATATAGCAGCTTCAATTCCAGCACCACCTGAGAAAGTGGAGATACGCAAATAGACTTTTAAAAAGCTAGGAGAGTGCAGAGAACACCACATTTTGTTTTTGCTGAATATTTTAAATACATTAATTATTTCAGCAAGATTATTTATACATGAGCCGTGCACTTCTCATCTACACAAACTTTGTCTTGAGCACCAATGTTCGAACAGCTAAAAGCTGCTTGAATGCAAATGTACCTTCTTACCCCATAGCTGTAGGGTTAACTGTAAGAGACAGAGGAATTAGTCGCAACGATCACTAAAACGTCTGGGGAAAATTATGCAAACACAATTAATTCAATACAATTCTATGTTGTTTGAACTGGATTAGTTTTCCAACCTAAATGCATAAAAATAAATCTAAATAAATATGATTAGTGTAAGAAGCTGTGTCAACTTTCACTTTTGACCATGAAGTAGAAGAGGAAATATCAGTAAGGTAAAATAAATATTTACATGACACCTATAGTATGTTTTTGCTGAACAAACAGATTCCAGGTTCAGAGCTTTCACTGTGAGATGTTAAAATGCTTCAAAGCGTTACTGTATTACAGGCACAAAGAGGGTGATTAACAAGGTGTGAATTTTCTGACTTAATGCAGTGATGAATAAACAGTTATAATAAAAAAGTTGCACTATATGGCCAACAGTATGTGCAAAGCCCTCTTAGTTATTGAAATGTTTCAGCCCATTGCAAACAGATGTATAAAATTAAGGACATGCAATCTACTCTGACAAAAAATGGCAGTAGAATGGGTCCTACTAGAGAGCTCAGTGACTTTAAACATGGCACTGTCAAATGATACCACTTTTGCCCCAAGCACAGCATGCAAAAATTGCCTATCCTGTGTTGCATCGTTCCCTACAGAGTTCCAAACTGCCTCTGGAAGCAACATCAGCACAAGAACTGTGCGTCAGGAACTTCATGAAATGGTTTTCCTTGGCCAAACATCTGCACACAAGCCTTAGACGTGCAATGCCAAGCGTCATCTGGAGTGGTGAAAAGCATATCGCCACTGGACTCCGGAACAGTGGAAACACATTCTCTGGAGTGATGAATCACACTTCACTATCTGGCAGTCTGATGGACAAATCTGGGTTTGATGGATGCCAGGAGAAAACTACCTACGTGAATGCAGAGTGCCAACAGTAAAGTTTGGTGGAGGAGGGATAATGGTCTGGGGTTGTTTTTCAGCTGAGTTTGGGCAGACCTTTACACACAGCATGCAAAGACATTTTAAGGCAAATATATGCTTTCAACTTAGTGGCAACGGTTGGGGAAGGCCCTTTCCTGCTCCAGCATGACTGTGCCCCTGTGCCCAAAGCGGGGACCTGGAAGACATAGTTTGACGAGTTTGGTGTAGAGGAACTCCAGTGGCCTGCAGAGAACCCTGACCTCATCCCCACTGAACACCGTTTTGGATGAGTTGGAACATTGGTTGTGAGCCAGGCCTTCTTGTCTATCA